TCAACTTCCCCGACCCCCCCCCACTGGAAATGGAGGGCAAATTGAGGCCTTCGGGTTGGGTTGAGGTGGTTTGGTAGGTGGTGAATATGGGTGCTCCGCGGAGATCGGAGCCGTGTGAGAGGGAGGGAACTCTGGGACCGCCGACGGAGCAAACAGCTGCCGGAGGACGTCCAGGCGTGCACCCCAGGGCTCTGCCCCCGAGAGCCGACGCAGCGAACAAGCCACGACGACGTGCAAATCCACGCCCGGAGCCCCGGAGCCCTAGACTCGATCTTTCTGCATCTTGTTCAAGCCGGATCGATCGGTGAGGGTCCCCGGGGCCCGAAATAAAACAAAAGAAAACGACATACAACTAAACTGTTGCCGCTCCGCTTGGATTTCTTGGATCCGCGCTGCCCCCCCCCCCCTCCCTCCCTGGCGCGCGGAGCGCTCCAGGGGCGACGCCGGGGGCGCCGCCAGGGGGACCCAGCGCGGATCCAAGACATCCGCGCGGAGCGCCCAAAATTTCTGTTTCTGGCGCTTCTTCTTAGTCTTCTCAGAAAAATAAACGATAACGCCCGGCTTGACAAACATCGAGACTCCAGGATCTCAGGAGAAGGAGGCGGAGGAGGAGGAGGAGGAGGAGGAGGAGGAGGAGGAGGAGGAGGCGGAGGCGGAGGGGGGGGAGGAGGAGGAGGAGGAGAGGAGGAGGAGGAGAAGGCGAGGAGGAGGAGGAGAGACGGAGAAGGAGGAGGCGCAAGGGGGAGGAAGGAGGAGGAGGAGGAAGGAGGAGAGGAGGAGGAGGAGATGAGGAGGAGGAGGAGGAGGGGCAGGAGGAGATGAGGAGGACGAGGAGGAGGACGAGGAGAGGAGGAGGAGGAGGGGGATGGGGGAGGGAGGAGGAGGAGGAGGAGGAGAAGGAGGAAGAGGAGGAGGAGGAGGAGGAGGAGGAGGAGGTGGAGGAGCAGTCACCTCGATCCTCGAACCTTGTTCCTCCCCTCTCCGTTTCGCCTTGGCGAGACCCATCAAGCGGAATCGGAAATCGGACCGGATCGAAATCTGCGTCGCCATCGGGTTGCACCAGAATGGATTTTCCCATACTTTCCCATATTTTCTGGGGAATCGAGGATTCCTTGTGTCTGTGTGTTTTTTCTCCTCCTGAAGAATGCAGCACGGAGCCGGACTCCACTCGGCCAGGCCACGCCCGGATGCACAGCAACCCCTTGCGCGCACCTTGGGTCGCACTGGTTCGTCGGAGTATCCGAATCGAATCGGGTCGGGCTGGCCAGAATCGATTGGGAGCCCCCACACCAGGTGGTGCAATACAGAAGGGGCGTTGACCTAAGGAACCCTAAATAAGGAACGAGGCCCCTCCTTTCCCATAAATTAAACTTCGATTCCCCATCGAAAACCTAAGGACAACCTGAGGCAAGCTGTGAAACAATCAAGGAACACGGAGCCCCTCCCCAACGAAAAGGGTTCCTTCTTCAAGACCCCTACTGTATCAAGTGGCGACCTGGAATCCCCCAGAAAGTCACCGCTGAGCCGTTGGGTTTGAAACACGGGGTCACCGCTGGGTTTTGTGACTCGTGGACCCACCAAGGTTCGGGACATCCCCGAAGAACCACGCGAGCCCTCAAACCGGGTGGTGACACCAAATCGCCCGAGACTCACCGCCGGGTGTTGTCACCACCACGCTTGGGGATTACCAGCTCGACACCGCCGTCGTGCTGGATGGCGGAGCCCAGGAAGGAACGAAGGGCGATGTTCCGACCACGGCGAGCCTCAGTCACGAATCGGCTCCCCGACCAGAGAGTCCAAGGGCCCGAAAACCACGGTGCCTCCTGAGCGCACAAAAGTGGTCCTCCTTTCAGCTAAGACCAAACCAGGGCGAGGATAACACGTTGGGTGAGGATAGATCAAGAATCTCTGAGATCTGGCGGCTCTGGAGGAGGTATCGGGCGCCGCGGCCTTCCCACCGCGCTCTGGAACGCTCTGAAAGCGTTCCGGATCGCTCTGGAACGGACACATCCTCGTCCTAGCCCCGTCTGATGAGCGCCCAAAAAAGGCCTCCTCCTCCTCCTCCTCCTCCTCCTCCATCTTCCCCCTCGATCCTCCTCCTCGATACTCCTCGGTCCATCTCCTCGGTCCTCCTCGATCCTCCTCCTCGCCCTCTCCGTCCTCGTCGCCGTCCTCCTTTCAGCAAACCTGGCTGCACAAGGCGACCCGGGGCACCGCACCCCGGAGGGCGCGGCGCAGCCCACCGAGGCCGGAGGAGCCTCCGGGGACGGCGAGGACGTGCGAATACCAGGGTCCCGAGGCCGGAAGCAGACCTCCGAGAGCCCAGAGCCTCGAACCGGAGATGCCAAGAGAGCGCACCAAAGTTGGCCACGCCGCCCATCCTGGGCCGAGCATCGGTGTGTGCGCCCTCCTGGTGCTAGCAAGTACATATGTATGTACATGCATGCATGCATGCATGCATGCACCTACCTACCTACCTACCTACCTACCTACCTACCTACCTACCTACCTACCTACCTACCTACCTACCTACCTACCTACCTACCTACCTACCTGCCAACCTTCCTACTTTTCGACGTATGTACGTAAATCCATACAAGCAAACATAACGTACATACATACATGCATGCATACGTACATACACGCATGAATATGTGCATACCTACATGCCTAAGTACGTACGTACATAGATACATGCATGCGTGCATGCATGCATGCATGCATACACACATACACACATACACACATACGTACATACGTACATACACACATACGTACATACATACATACATACATACATACATACATACATACATACATACATACGTACACACGTACTCACGTACATACGCACAAACGTACATGCGTACATCCATACGTACATACATGCATACATACATGCATACATGCATGCATACATATATACATATACATGTACATACACATATACAAATACACATACATACTAGAACCATCGGGCGCGCTTCGCGCGCGCTCAGGTTCTAGTTGAGGTCACCGCTCAAGTGCGATGCCCGCGACGATTATTACAACGAAGACGGCGGCATGCACTGCAAGCCACATGTTCCGGAAGCGCCATGTTCCGGACGAGCGTTCCCGGAGCATGGGGCGCCAGAGGCTCCCCCGGTCTTCCCCCCTCCCGGACTATCCTGCCGAGGAACTCTTGGGTTGCGTAGGGCCGGTCTTGCGGGCTCCCTGGGGCTCTCTGGGCCCGCCTAGGGCTGTTTGGGAGCGGACCTGGAGGCGCGATGGGCCCTACTGGAGCGTGGAGAAGCCGAAAAGAGAAGAAGGCCAAGATCCTCCATTTCCTACGCAGAACAAGCGATTTTGGCCTGTTGGGACCCTCTTGGGAGTGCTCCTGGAGGCGTCTTGAGCCATGTTTCAAGCCTCTTGGGAGCTACCTAGGGCTGTCTTGAGGCGGAAGCTGGGTTTTCCGGACGCAGTCCGTGTCTTAGCACCTCTGGGGCCTGTTTTGGGGCACTCGTGGGCTGCCCTGGGCGCTTCTGGGGCCAGCCTTGGGCTCTCTGGGACCGCCTCGGGGCGGCCTTGGGCGCTTCTGGAGCTGTTCGGGGGCGTTCTCGGAGGCCTCCTGGGCCGCCTAGGAGCGTGGGACAGCCGCAAAGATCGGAAGGCCCAAACCCTTCGAATACGATGGTAAAACCATCATTTTTTGGCCTGCTGGGGCCCTCGTGGGAGTGCTCTTGGAAGCGTTTAGAGCCATGTTGGAGGACTCTTGGGGGCTGCCTGGGGTCACTGTTGAGGCGGGAGCCCTGGGTGTTCGGTACGCGGTCCCTCTCTTGGGCCCTTCGTGGGCTTCTTTTGGAGCCTTCGTGGGCTGTCGTGGGCGCTTCTTGGGCCAGCGTTGGGCTCTCCAGGGCCGCCTTGGGCTTGTCTGGGGGGCCTCTGGGGCTGCTGGGGGGCGGACCTGGAGACCTCCCGGGCCGTCGTGGAGCGTCGTACAACCGAAAAAAACAAAAGGCCAAAATCCTTCCGAAACCCTCGGATAACCATCGATGTTGGCCTCCCGGGGCTCTCTGGGGAGCGTTCCTGGAAGCGTCCGGAGCTATGTTGGAGGGCTCCTGAAACCTCTACCACGTGCTTCGGCGACATGGGTCGAAGGTGGGAACCATTCCTGGTGCTGAAACAGCACCAGGGTCCGTCCTGAGCCGCTCGGGAGATGCCCCGGAGCGGCTCTGGAGAGGCCCGGGGGGGGTCCCCCCATGGCGACTCGAGGCACCTGGCCGGAGGCCCCCGGCCCCGTACCCCGACATATATATATATATATATAAATATATATATATATATAAAATACATATATATAGCTCGCCTACCGTTCTCTCCCGCCAGGCTCATTTTTGTGTGAGGGGCTGACCAGGCAAGTGACTTCGAGACATCGATGCCGAGGAACGCCGAGCCGAGAGCACACACCCCCTACATAAAGAAATTGCGTTTACAGCTTGCTGAGCAATATAACAGAGGAAGGAACGAAGAGAGAAGCACGGCACAGACACACACCCGCAGAGGCACGCGAGAGAGGGGGGGAGGGAGGGAAGACTTGAGCGTGGCAGTTGCGGCGGGATCCAGGATGGGCTATGCCTAAACATGTTAAATGTGACAGCTCGCCTACCGTTCTCTCCCGCCAGGCTCATTTTTGTGTGAGGGGCTGACCAGGCAAGTGACTTCGAGACATCGATGCCGAGGAACGCCGAGCCGAGAGCACACACCCATACCCGTATGGTGAACTGGCCGACTGGTTGATAGTCAGAAGGAGGCCGAACAACTTCTTTATGCACCCAATGCCATATCCACAGCATATTTTGAAAACCTCCGAGCACGTTTATCTTCGAACGATCGCTGCATCACACGACTGAACTTCTGGGCGAACGCTTTGGGGTACTCAGCCGCCAGACGAGTGAAGTGAGGACCGTGAGGAGCGTGCCCGGACAGAATCACGTGTCGTTTTTTAGACATCGAGCAAATACCTGATCGACCAGAGCAACGGATACTGAGGTTCAGCAACGGCAGCGAATTCCAGGCGGCGACGCTGGTCGCCTTCCTCCACGGCGCCCCGTACTGACACATGTGAAGCTGGATCTTCTGGGCGCAGGGCGCCCGCAAAAGCCGGGCCAGTTCAGGAGCGTGCCACATCAAGGAGCCCGCGGGATTCTCAAGGTACACAGCAACTTTCCACTTCATAGCGAGGCGGATGACCTTGCACGTGAATCTGAAGGTCGAGTTGCCTACCTCCAGCCTCGCCAGCTCGCTCGCCGAAAGCCCAGGCAGCCCCATGGGATGCCGCCGCGAGCGCAGAGGCCGGCGCAAAGCCTGACTCCACGTCGTGCAAGGCGTCCCGAGCCAGATGCCGGCTATGCAGCCGGATGTGACCCATCCATGAAGCACCCCAAAAAACTCATGCACCAGATGATTCTCGTGAGCACCGCGGCCGATGTCGAACCCGATTGCCGAGAAGCCGTCGGATTTCAGCGCTGCCGTGATGCAGCCCTTGCCGCAGAACAGCTCGACGAAGACAAACCGCCTGTGCAGCCGCCCCGCGTTCACGGCCTTTCTGAAAGCAGCCAGCATGTGGGCCCGCACGGCCCCCGGGGCCGCAATCAGCGGCGGCGCCGCTTGCGGCCGCGGATGGCCGCCGCCGCCAGGCTGGGTCGGGCGCCGACCAGGCTGGTCAGGGCGGCGGGCAGCTGGGAGCGCAGCGGATGCGGGCCGCCGGCCAGGGCGCCCTCGATCACCGCCCTGAAGTTCGCCTCGACCAACTTGCCGAACGACAGCGTGGTGGCAGGGACCCAGTGCAGCTCGGCGAGCAGCTTCGACTCCTTTGCGTACCGCTTCATGCTGCTGCTGTGGCCCCATCTGCCCCTGCGTTGCACCTGCTCCGGCGTGCGGAGCCCGCGGATGATGTCCTCCGAGGCCCCCCCGTGGCGGAGGGAGTACAGGTGCGGGCGGAGGCGGCTCAGCGACAGGAGCTTGGCCGCCTCGCCGAAAGCCTTCTTGTACTCGCCGAGGTCGAAATCCCAGAGAGAGGCTTCGGCTGGCGTGGCCAGCTTCAAGGCCTCGAGGACCCGAAAGAGCCAGCTCGCGTTGTCGATGATCACCGACTCCTCGAACAGGCCGACCTTGCTCGGGACACGATCGACCACGTCGTGCAGCAGGAGTGCCCACTTGTCGTACACCTGCCCCGCGGCCGCGGCTGGCTGGACCAGGCTGCGGCCCCGGAGGCGGAGCGCCTCGCCAGGCCGCAGGTAGCACAGGAAGCTCAGGATCACGCAGATGGCCATCCGCGCCTGGCCCCAGCTGGCCAGCATGCCCGCGATCGCAAAGCAGGCACACCTCGGCAGCGGCAGCCGCGTGTGTGCCGGGGCCCGGCGGGCCCACGCGATGGCACACCGCTTGGCCCGCGGCAGCACCCGAGGCACCGCCTTGTACAAGACCGGCATCACATGGCTGAGCGCCGCCAGGAGCTGGGACCCCGTGTTGCCGTTCTCGCCCAGGAGGTACATCTGGTCGAAGTACTCCACCAGCAGCGCGTCCAGCTCCGATGTCGAGCACCAGTCCCGGCGGCGAGTCGAGCAGAAGGCCGCAAAGGCCTCGAGAGCCATCTGGTAGTTCCTGGCCGTCGAGGGCAGGATCGCGGCATTCTCCAGGGTCGACAGCCCGGTGAACCGCAGCGCAGCCCGAGCCACCTGTGCAGCCGCCTGGGCCCGCTCGCGCTTCAGAGCGGATGCCGCCGGCGCCCGGGACGTCCGCGCCCCCTGCACGCAGGGCGGCGACAGGAGCCCGCAGCCCGCGCCCAGCGTCAGCAGCAGCAACCGCGAGGCCGCCATGCGGCCCGGACGGGCCATATGAGCGCGCGCCAGAGAACCAGCCGACCTCGCCTCGGGACACCGGGTCGGCCGGGTTGAGCTCCGACGGAACCCACCGGACGGCGAGTCTCGAGCCCGTTGCCAGCGATAGAGCACATATTCGATACAGACACTGTCGTAGGTGAACTGACTTGGCCCGTCCTTTGCCCGCTGCCAATACCAGGGGAAGGTTGTCCGAGAGGATCAGGATGCGACGACCGTGGGCCTTGCAGCTCCTCAGGACGTTCTTGAAGCCCATGACCAGGGCCTCTCCCTCAAGAAACAGGATGTTGGGCCCCATCTCGACATGTGTGGCGGATACACAGCTCCAGCACCCCGGACGCAGAAGCTGCCTAGGCACCTCCAAGAACTCCCCCGTGCTTGGGTCAGGCTCCTCCTCGTTCAGGGCCCACAAAGGCCCCTCCTCCCGCTCCAAGATCATCTTGGTCTCCTCGTCCATCCCAACCTCCTCCAAGGCCCTTCGACGGGCCTGAGCACCACCCTCGATCTTGAAACGGAACCTCTCCTTCTGCCGACCTAGCTCCTGGACCTGGACCGGGCTCATCTTGCGGCGGACGACTCCGAGACCGAACGGCGACGCGTCTGTACACGCAACGTAGGGATGCCAATCAGCCTGCAGGTCCACGCACAGCAATGGCAACAAGTTGCGAACGCTCTCGAGCTCCTGCCTCACAGAGGACCACAAACAACAGGGTGTGGGGCCAGCGGCCTGGATATATGCGTACGTGGCATGCAGCAAGGACAGACACTCGCGGCGCACCAAACTCGTCCAAGTGATGTGACCGGCGATAACACGCAAGAGATGTCCGCTCACCCTCGGCCTGGCCAGCAAGTCATCCAGTGCATACCGAAGCCTCCAAATGTTGCGACTCTTCACCGAAAGATAACGACCACCGCGGAGCGACATCCCCAAGAATTCACGATCCTTGCTGGCACCTTCAAGCTCGTGGACGACGAGGCCCAGGCCCCTCAACTGCTCGACGACAATATTGAGACGACTGGCCACGGTCCCCGGATCATGCCCCAAGGTGAGGAAGTTGTCCACATATGCGGCTGACGCGGTGTCCCCAGGATATCTAAGAACCACTCCTGGCCTGCCGTCCAACACCTGCTCGTTCCTTTTGAAGCCCCCTTTGTCCAAAGCCCCCTCCAGGACGTTTTGACATAGATGGAGAGCCCATGAGAAGCCCATAGGAAGCACCCGTACGCAAGGTAACATAGTTACGCCGGCCCCGTCAGGGACACCAGGAATGTGAAACTTCTGCAGATAAGAGGAATCTATACAGGGCAAACTAAACATATGCTCCATTCCTTGAGGCAACTGCATATGATAAAAAGCCACATCCAGATCCCCGCTCGCTACATACAGAGGGCCCCCCTCGGCCTCGAGAGAAGCGAACGCAGAAGGGGAGGGGAGGCGCGTCGACGGCGGGTCGACGAACCTGCAATTCGCAACTCTGGTATCGAAGATGATGCGCTGAGCACCGCTTTTCTTCTTCACAAAAAACAAGCCCAGATTGCCTTGACGCCCCATGGCGCGCTCCCAGGACAGCATTCCCCGAGAAGACATATCTGCCAAAAACTCAGCATACCGCCACGGCGAATTCTTCAGGACGGGATCCACATGAGGTCCCCGCGGGCAAATTTCTTTCTGCAGGGCCCGGGCCTCCGACTCCGGGCGAAGCATTTGGTACTGCCAAGCCTCCAGCTGTTTCAAAACAGGCCCAGAAGCGAGCGACTCCAGAGGAACCGGGTCGGTCCGCCCAGCGGGCCAGGAGACGAGGTCTCGACTGAAGGATGTCACCGCCCCTCCATCTGATGAGTACAGGGCGGATCCGTCAAGAAGCGCCGAAAGGGCTCCCTTGGAAAAGAGGTGCGGCGCGGCCGGGTCCACTGGAGGGGCCCCCACCGCGCGGCATGTTGCTATAATATTATCTACAGCTGCTTTCTGCCCGGCATTCGAGAACTCACTACCGAGGGAGGCACAGCCGTAGGTCTTGTTGAGCGTCGCGATGCATTCACGAACGAGGTGCTTATCGTGTTCGGCACGGAGAACCCGGCGACGCACAGCACGCGACAGAGGGCCAGCAGCAGGTGAGGCTTCGAGATAGTCAGGAATAGGAAGAGGAAAGATGTCACGGTGCCGCCCATCAGGAACATCCGGCCGATGCTTTGCGCCGCCGACCTTCAGGAGGCCGGGTGGACCCTGCAGCCCTTCAAGGCTATCAAGGGTGAAGGCCGGGCCCCGAGCCTCCACCTGGCGTACATTCACCCCTCGCCCTTGTTGCCCTTCTTGCCTTTCTTGCCCTTGTCCTTGTCGTGGCCGCCCGCCGCGCCACCAGCCAACTGACGCTCTTCACGGGCTTTCCTGAGCTCCTTCTGCACCGCCACCTCCCGCGCGAGCTCAGCCGACACGTACTGCTGGAGGGCGGGCGACACGCATACATCTCCTCGAACTTCAGCGGTCCCCATCATGAGATCGCGGTTGATGTTCTCGGGCTCCGAAGAGCTGCTGCGCGCGCGGTACCGCTCCTCCTGCACCTGGAGCGTCCTCGCGATCAGCTCGGCACAGGCCAAGTCACAGGCATTTAACTGATCGTACGAGATCATGGTCTCCAAGAGGCGACTACACAGCAAGTGAACCTCGACCCCAGCGTCATCTGGATCGAGCCCGTTCTCGCTCCTCCAGCGCGAGTGCCGCGCGAGGGGAGTACCGCCGTGCCGCTGGATGTACTGCAGTACCCAGTGCGTGGTCCGCGGTCCTCTGACAGGGAAGTCGGCCCACGCGTGCTCCGACTGCGCCAGCAGGCCCTCGCGGAAGTCCAAGAACCGTTGGCCACGCCCATCATGTGTGGCCGCCAGCACTCGCAGATCAGGCGCGTTGGCGGCAGCTGGCCCGACGCCGACCACGGCAGGCGCCGCCGGTGCGGCTGGGGCAGCACCTCCGGCGGCGGCAGGCGCCGCGTCCGCGGCTGGCGCCGCCGCGCCCGGATCCACAGCAGGAGCGGCCAGTGCCCCCGCAGCGGCCGGCGCGCCAGCAGCCGCCGCTGCCCCAGGCCCGCCAGCGGGGCCGCCGAGGGCCGCCACGAGGCCGGCGAGACCGCCTCCTGCCGCGCCGGCGGCGGCGGGCGCGGCAGCGGCCGGCGCATCGACCAGCGCGCCAGCAGCCGCAGGGACCGGCACCGCAGCCGCCGCCGGGTTGGCCAGCGCGTGCGGCCCGGCCGCCACCCCGAGGACATTGCCGGCCGCGAGGTCCAGCATCGGCGCTCCCGGGGGCGGCGGCGGGAAGCCGGCTGCCACTGCTCGCCCCACCGCGCCCCAGGCCTCCGCCGCTGTCGGGAGCCGCCTGAAGCGGTACACGTGACCGCCCGCGAGGCCTGGGGGGTTGGCGCCCTGCCCCGCTAGGCGGACCACCGCCGCCACGTCAGGCCCCGGCGCGTTCGGCTCGTCGTAGTCGTCGAAGTCCGGCGTCAGGATGTAGCTGAGGGCCCCACGCTCCGAGATCGTGAGCCGCTCATGCCACACCAGCGGCCCCGGCACACTGTACCGCACACAATAGAAGGATCCCGCCATCAGAAGTCACCGTGGTGGCCGATCCCCTGGCACCGGCTGCGGCTCCGGCTGGCCTTGGCCTGCTCGGCCGCGAGCTTGTCGAGGTCCGGCTCCACGCCCTGGTCCAGCGTCGGCTCGCCGAGGGCAGCAGGCCCCGCACGCGCCGCCGGTAGGACGGCCCGTGCCGCGCTTGAAGCCAAGCCCACCACCGCCTTCAGCGCCTCCAACAGCAGGTAGCCCAGCAGCCCGATGCCCAGCTGGAGCGTCCAGCCCGCCTCGCCTGCCTCGCAGGCCGGGCAAGGGGTACACGGGTCAGGACAAATCAGGCCCGGACCCCTCGCCTCCAGCGCCGCGGCCAGGCACTCGGGCAGGGGCACGAGGGTGGCCTCGTCCTCGACCTCGCTCGAGCCCGCCACGCGAGCAGCCCGCGCGGGCGGCTCCGCCCGTGGCGGAGGCTGGGGCGCAGCGGGCGGCGCCCACCACCAGCGCGCCAGGCCTATGGCGCTCAGGTGGCACAGAAGGTGAAGGCTGAGCCCAGATCGCAT